CTCTCTATATATATATATATATATATATATATATATATATATTGTAGAAATATTATTGAATGAACAAGTTTGTGGTTAAGGAGTTTATAGTTATTTTATTGTAATTTCTTTTTCTTCGAATTTTTAAAATAATTAGTAACAGGTTAAAAATTATATATAACAATTTCTAGTTGTATAATTTAATGTACGTATAAAAAAATAATAAAAATTAAAATTAATATAATATTTTGTATGTTATTAAATTTATAAATATATTGAATTATTTACATGTATAAAATTATTATTATTATGTATAAAATTAATTAAAATAAAAATATATTAGAAAATTTAAACGTATATGTTTGTATTTTGTTATTTATAAGTATATGTTATTTTTATAGAAAAATATATATAAAATTCAATATAACCTAAAAATAAGGAGATTATAAAAACGTTTCTAACAACGTTTATCTAATAAAATTTATTTTCTAGATGAGTCTCTTCAGAATTTGTCGTTTAATTCAAGATGTGAGGTTTGTACTTTAATATTAATTTAATTAAATAATTTAATATTTAAAATTATTAATATGTTTTAGAAAAAACTATTGTAAATATTATATAAATGTGTATACAAAAAGAATTTTAGAAATATAATAAACGAGAAATTTTCAAGAGTATATAGTTCAAATATATATACAAATCAATATAAATATTACTCATTTATGAAGCAACGAAAATGGACTGTTTCTATTGCATTTGGAATATCATTATTAGCAGCATTACAATATAGACATTTGAAAAACTATATAACTCAAGACAGCAATGTATATGAGCCATTCAATTTCTTTGCGGTATAGTTTTTTATTATAATATTAGCAATTTAAATTAAAATTTTCAAATAGTATAACTAAGATGATTTCATAAAAAATTAATTTAAATATTTATAAAAAATTTTACAGATAAAATGTTATAATTTTTTGCCACTTCGAATAATAAGTAGAATATGGGGTTGGATAGCCAGTTTGGAATTACCAGTTAGTTTAAGACCAACTTTATATGAATTTTATGCAAAAACTTTTGATGTTAATTTAAATGAAATTGACATAAATTTATCAGATTTTCCAAGTCTTGTTGATTTTTTTGTTAGACCACTCAAATATGATGCAAGACCCATTGATCAAAATACAAGTATAGTATGTATATAATTTTTATTATAATGATTATATAAATTATTAATTTAAATAATATATTAATGATGAACATTTAAATTTGTTATAGGTTTCACCTGCTGATGGAAAAGTATTATATTGCGGACCAGTCACTTCATGTTCTGTACAACAAGTGAAGGGTGTAACTTACAATCTCAGGCATTTTTTAGGCGATATAAGTATGCTTGATTCTGAACATTATAAATTTACAAAAGAAGATGATGATGCTTATATAAAATCCCTTTTAACAAATCCAATGAATCAACTTTATCAATTAACAGTTTATCTTGCTCCAGGAGATTATCATAGATTTCACAGTGCAACTCATTGGGAAATAAAATTTCGTAGACACTTTCAAGGTTTATTATTTTTATTAATTTTAAAAATTAAGTTTAATTGATATAATGACTTCAATTAAAATTAATAAAATATTTTAGGAAAGCTTTTGAGTGTTAATCCTAAAGTAGCAAAATATTTACCAGATTTATTTTCATTAAACGAACGTGTAATATATATTGGTAAATGGGCTGATGGTTTTATGGCTTATAGTGCAGTTGGTGCAACAAATGTAGGTTCTATAAAAGTTTACTGCGATAAAGATTTATATACAAATGCTATTAAATGGCCTGAAATCGAACACTGGAAAGATGCTAATTTAAATTGTATATATTTAAAAAAAGGAGAATTGTTTGGTGAATTTAGAATGGGATCTACTATTATATTATTATTTGAAGCTTCAAGAGATTTTAAATTTTGTGTAAATGTTGGACAAACAATAAAAATGGGTCAAGCTTTAAGTGAATACATTCCTGAAATTGAAATAAAACAATATGAACATTCATTATGACAATTAATAATGCGCGTAGCGCTTGACTGGAAATATGTTTGGAGAATAGATACCTAAAATTTATTCATTGATATATATATGATATCCATTATTGTTGTACAAATTTTTATTTTTTACGATATTGTTATTTTAAATAAATTGCAGAGCAAATATAGATGGAATAATAATGGATATTTTAAATATTATAAATTTTATTAAAAATTAAAATTTTACAAAATTCAATAAATTTATAAATAAAATGCGTCTATATATAAATTCATGAATTAGATGCAAGTATAATAGAAATTATTAATAATTCATATTATTTAATATTTGAAAAAATTGAATTATTTTTATTATCAAATACTTAATAAAATTTAATATTTACATATTAATAAAATATTTTGTATTTTTAAAATATTAATATATTTATCTTGTCACATCAAATTGATTGTATTTACTCATAGTAGACTCATAGTAGACTCATATTAGTTATTTACATATTTGTGTTCAATTTTGTAATTTTTGCAAGTATTTTCGTTTTGAGTAAAAATATGTTATAAACGTAATAAAATATCATTACATCATATTATTATATTATAAAAATATTAGCCATCCTAAATGTTTTTTTTAAATATCTTTATAAAAAATATATTTTATAAAAAATAATTTCAAATTTGTAAATTTAAAGAATAAATGTGATTAAAAATATTCATCGTATAATTCTTTAATAATTATATTCGCATGTCAATAAAATATCTTAGATTTATAAAAGTTATTTATTTATATTTATAATTATCTTGTTTATGAAAAAAAATTTATGTATTATAGCATTCGATTTAAATTTCTTATTAAATTGAACTTTATGTTATGAAATTTTTTCATTGTGAAATCAAAAATTGAAGGTTTTCATTCTTGAATTATTGAAATCGAAATAATTTATGATATCAAAATATTTTTAAGAATTATTTTAAAATATAATGGAATGAATATTTTTGATTTTGAGAATGTTAAAATAAAAATAAGAATAAAAAAATAAGAATTCGTAAATTTAAAATAATATTTAAAGTGATTATAATTTGAAACTTATCTTAACAAGATGGATCTTATTATATATCTTATGATCATTCTTCAGTTAGTTTGACTGTGCTTTTGATATATGATCCGTTTTATATCTTATTTTTTTATTATCTTATTATTTTATTAGTATTATCTTATTATTTTATAATTTATGTTATCATTCATTTGTTTGAGATAAGTATTTATTTATGGTTATTTTCAATAATTAATTGACAGTTGAGTATATAATTATTTGCATATAATTATCTTCTTCATTATTAAAAGGAAAAGTTGATTGGGAATGAAAAGCAAAACAGAAAAAGCTGCCGTCGCGTGTCCGGAATCACGTTACCTCTACGACGCTGCGGTTCAGTAAGCGTCGCGACGCCTACCGCGCACGTTGCAACGTTCGTTTGCTTGTCGCGGTGTTCCCTCAGATTGTGCTAATTTTGAGTTGTTCTTTAAATTAAAAAAAAAAATTCTAAATTTCTTTTTGTTATATCACGTACACAAACATAATATATGATTTAAACAAATTTACATCGAGAAAATTGCAAAAGAGACATTGTGCTATTTTCTTTTTTATATTTCCTTTAAAATTAAATTATGGAGCTAGATGGGTGCTGATGGACATTTTCGTGTGACCTTGTCCCTGAGAAGGGAACCAACTGCTGGTCCAGTTTATTGCAAAATGGAAACTTCAGCGAGATTTCGACAGTTAAAGACCGTCAAATTAAGCTGTGAGGCCACATATCGGTTAGACATCAGCTTCAAACCGCCGCAAATATTAGAGTGGGTACAACAAATATCACGATTAAATGATACATTAATTTTTCTTTTTTTAAGAACAATTATTTCTTTACCCATTATTTTCATTCGTCTTTATGTCACTGTTTCTTCTTTATCTGATTTTGTAACTTGTTTTATAGTATGAACTTTTTATTCAATGATAATTTTTTTCATTGTAATAATTGTAATTGTAATATCGAGAGACACGAATATCCATGAGAAAATTCATTCTTTCTTTAAAGATAATTGGTTGTTACATTTTGTATTTGATAATTTTGAATTGTCCATTTGAATTTCATTTTTATTTGATCTAGATATTTATTTTGCAATCTATATAAATTTGCAATCAGATAAATTATATAAATGAGATCTAGTGCTAGATATATGACCATTATTCTTATTTATTTCTTTCATTTTTCAACAAATATTTATGCTTTTCATTTATGCTTAATATTTTTCAACATAATTTGTTAGATTGTTAATTAATTATATTTAATTGTTAAAATTTTTATTTTCTTAGAAATATCAATGTTAAATTTTCATATTTTCATAGAATTTAATATTTTTATACATTTCGATTATTTTATATATTTCTGTTTTAATAATAAATCATTAATTTTTAAGTATAAATTATTGAATTATTAATTTATACTTAAATATAAATTGCAAATTTCATAACTCATTTAATGTATTATTCAAGAAATGATTATTTTGTTGTATCATTACTCATAAAAAAAGAAGTGCAACGTTAAACATTTATCCAATAAAAAATCTAGAGAAATAATTTGTTCTTTTTTTAAAAAAAGAGATTATATTTGTTCTCCAAATATAAATATCTATAAATATATATACTTCGAAGTAATTATTATACAAAAAACAAATATCTTTAAAAAAAAAATTAATGAAAATAATTCTATTTCTTCTTTTTTAATAAATAAAACAATTATATACTTTTGACTTTTCTTTCTATAGTAATTTTTTTTAATTCTATTATAAGATTTGAATTGTTGCAATGGTAATTGCCTTACGATAGAATCATGAAATATAATACTTTCTTCATAAAAGGATTTATATGAAGAATAGATTTATATGAAGAATACATTGTACAATATTAATATAGAAAAAAGATTAATATAGGAAAATTGCAAAATTTAAGCTTTAAAAGGAATATAAAAAAAATCAATAATCAAACATAAATAAAATAATTTTTTAAATTATCATATATTTTCCATTCAAGTTTTCGAGATCGATCGTTCGTCTTCGATGATACCTTAACACCCAAGACATTTTGGAGAAAAATAAGAATTGTAAAATACGATCCTTCCGATCTTATAAAACTTTATGTGTTTTATGATCTCGACGAGCGATTTTAAAAGAGAAAAACGACATTAGGAAAAATCGATCTTCATCTAGTGCTTCTTGAAATACTTTATCGAAGAAAGGATAAAAAAAAAGAAAAGAAAGAATCATCTCCTTGGACACCATTTTGAATAATTATAATGAAGAGTTTCTAAACGGCGATCTTCGCGGCTTAACTGGATAAAGGAATCGATAAGCCTTAATTCATAGATGATATTCTTCGAGGAGCAAGGATTACGAAAGTAATCAATGTATAATATACCACATATATTGTATTATATATTGAATAATCTTTCATTGTTCGTAATACAAAACATAATTGACAAATGTGATAGAATTTATTAATGTTTCGTTTTCTTCTGCTCATTTAATCGCTTCCTGTAATCATCAAAAATTCAACATTTCAATTTTCGATCATAATAATCGAATCATGTATGAAGTATGATTCTAAAATATTTATTCTTAAAACTATATATTTTTGATTAAATTAGAGAGAGATATTTTATGCGATTAACGATCATCGATAACATTTTTCAATAAAATATATTATAGGATATAGAATACATGATAAAATAAAATATATTAGATTCAAATCTATTGATAAAGGTATAGATCAGTCCGAGGGTTACGAAGGATGATTATAAAAAATTCATGTACCCAAAGGGGTTGGAAACATGTCTAGAAACTATTAAGTTTTTCCATTAGAATAATAATTGACTTGGTGCGTTTATTCGTAACTGAAGAACGTTTAAAAAAATAAATATCAATTTATCGATAATTTTGAACATTTTTGTTTATAAAGAGTCGTAGAATAAAGTTATCGAGTCATAGAATAAAGGCATCGAATTACAATCTAAGATCAAATTGAGGTTACTGTGTCGGAAGAAAAAGGATACAAAATGTTACATATATATATCTATGCGACACACAAGTCGAAGAAGAAGTGAGAGCAGACCAGGTGTTACATATCTATATAAAACCAGCTTAAATTGTAAAAATTGCAAATCGATTATGATCATCATTCAGTTCAGTTCGGAACAATACTTGATTTTTGACTTTTGATTATCATTGACGAAAGCTGTAAAACATATAAAAACTTTGAAAATGAACAATGAAAAATGAAAATGATATACATTTTAAAATATATTGGAAAAATCGTTTATTTATGGCATAAATAAATGATTGCGTTTTTGAAGTTCGAAAGAAACAAATACACAATTTCAAAATTTTTTTTAAAACTAGCATTTGTCACAGTTTCATAATTGAATCTAGAATATTCTATAGTCAAGGATAGTATCGAATAAAAATTTCATCGAAGAAATAAAGTTTGAAAGAAGCCTGACGATAAATAATTGCAATCGAACTTCGTCATGTTTCCGTATCGAAAATATGTCTTTATGCGATGAAATAGATACGTAAAAAGACGGAGGTAATCATACACGAGGATTGAAATATCGACTAGTGTTATACTGCAGCGCTGTTTTTCAATGCGTGGTGAGTAACAAAATCGTGTTCGTAACACGAATAGCGGCTAAAATTACTTGGCAATTACGATATGCAGAGTGTTGCTGGCGCATAGGTCAGTGATTTTGCGTAGATAATATTTAAACAACGAATGAAAATAAATATATGCAATGAAATCGACTTTTCAAAGAGATTCAACAGCCTTTTTTTTACACGAAGTTATTTCATTTGCTATTTAATGTTAAATTATTATTAATCTTTTAAAATTTCGAAAATTTATCTTCAAGTTTTCTAGAGATTTTTTTTTAAATTTCGAAGCCTAAAAGATTAAAAAGACATATTTCATTACCAAGAATTATAAATTAAAGAAATAAAATTGTTATCAAATAGATAATATATAAAAGAATAGTAATTTTAGTAATAAAAAGATTTGAAACGTTCACAAACAAAATTCTATTTATTGTGATAAACAGAAACGTGATTTTTTAGTAGTAATAATCAAATATTTATG